ACACACACACACACACACACACACACACACACACTACACACACACACACACACACACACACACACACACACACACACACACACACACACACACACACACACACACACACACACACACACACATATATATATATATATATATATGCAACTGTGCGGTTTACGACATAATCTTCATAAGGCAAAAGAAAGAGCAACATATGCAGATTTTGCGTGACCCAGTAGTATCATGCTGGTGTGCTGCACTCTGTGCGTGCGAACATCCGTTCACATGCCCTATGTATATTACCTCCATACACACTGCCATCTATCGATACCACACAGTGGCACTCTCCCCCACCCCTCCCGCATGCAACCCACTTCTATCCGTACTTCTGCAACCCCCACGCTCACTCGCGTATTTGCATTGTATTCCCTCCCATACCACTCTCTAGTGGATGGTCATTGAGCAGAAGGTCTCCAGTAAGATCCCTGGCGAGGCTGGTAAGTAAAGCGTGAGTGCATCGCCCACGTTGTATCGACTGTGCTTGTACTCGCCCACACGAATCGGCTAGAGCGTGTGTGCATGCACCCTCTCGGCATAGGCGAATGGGCCTTGTGAATACCTACTAGCCCCTGATATGTAACGCAGACGTGCGAAGTGTCATATCGCCAGCGGCTGTGCCATGCTTTTAACGTTGATCTGTTGCTTGTGGGATATACAGTTTGGTGGATAGTTCATACTGGTTGTGTATGGCTTGATACCGTTAGTGGTAAATACATCGGCTGTGCGGCGGCCCATGCTTGTTATTCGTATCCTCTGCATAGGCCGCGTCTAGTAGCGGTCAAGAGTGCTATCGGTAACGCCGCCTCACCCTTACACATATGATTGCGCTATAGTCGGAAGTATGATATCCGCGTTGCAGTTTTATACACTGGCCGGGGGTCTGTGATCATCGCTACCAATTCGTTTGCCATACAGCGCAGATACGATAGGAGCTCGTTTTTGTACTGTATCATATATCTGTCTGTATAAATATGTCCTCATCCACGCGGGTAGATGATTTGGGGGGTTACTGGAGCTGACTGATTTTGGTCAGAGATGGGGGGCCATTGGTTGAGGGCTTGTCTCTGGGGAATCAGCGATCAGAGATGACCTCAATGCCTCTGCTATTAACTCGGTGCAAAAACCCTAAACCCTGCTACTAGCTCAATGCCTCCGCTACTCTTTCAATATATACAGCGATAGAAAATGCCAACTATGGCACAGTGTACGCTGTGGGGTTGGCCCGAGTGGTCGCCAAAGAGGGCAAGGGCAAGGACCGGTAAGTGTTCGCAGCTGTAGGTAGATATATTCTCATCCAAGTTTTATTCCAAAGAATTTTTTCCCCAAATACGCGTTCACAATTGGAAACGCCGATACTGCGTTAGCTTGATAGGATAGGCGTTGTGGCGCAGTACATTACGTACTCGATTCATTGCAATAAAGTTGGGAACTAGGTAGGAAAAAGTTGGGATTAATGGAAATAAAGTTGGAATTAGGTAGGAAAAAGTTGGAATTAGATAGAGCCAGTGGGGTAGATGTGCACGTAGATCATACGGTGAGATCGAATTGAGCATGACTAATCAGCCTGCCCACGGCCGAGACTTTGTGTTCTTCTAGGTCACTCACTGCCGTAACTGCTGCTGTACTATTGTATCGTCTCCACAACCACAGAGGGAAAACCATCCGGCCAGAGGTCTTATTCAAGGATTTGTATCAGCTGTTGCCGCCCAGGGGTACTGCAGCCGATGCACTGCGCATACTAACAGACGTCTCGGTCCCCCCACCCACCTCGAGCATCCAGGCTAACGGCAAGAAATATCCGATAGAAATGGTACAGTGCGGGTGAAAAGTGTAAAGAGCCGTGCAGCCCATGTGTAGGTCATGGCTTACAGGTCTATCGCAATCACTTGGAGTCTTCTTCTTTCTAGGGCTAAATAAGCAGGCACGGATCTGCTACATGTATTGCATTTCGCTGTATTGGAGGTAGGAGCGTATCCGTTCACACAACCGACAACTAATGCGAGCATCGAGATTAGTGACCAGCACACACAAGAGCCATTAAACTTAGTTTTAGTTCGGACAGGAACCTTCCACATGTTCACGAATGTCACTTTCGCCCGCTCGCCTATGGCAATTTGCTACGGTAGAGCAATACTACAGTTGTACGGTAGAAACATAATATACGTTTGTGTGTACATAGAAGGTATCGGTTAGAATCCTGTGCAAGTTTTAGTACGTCCGATCACTACCTACACGCGCCAGTTGAGCTGGAGGCGTAGAATCTCAACGACGAACAGAGTGGTAGGCCATGCGGAGCTACGGGAATTTGTTTAAAGCAAATAAATAAATAAAAGGAGAAGTGGCCAGATCACTTCATCGACTCTCGAGGACGGCACAATCGTATGTGTATGAACGTATACTGGCTTAGCGTTTGCATGCCTGACAAAATTCTCTCGGAGCGTGCCCAGTCACACGCTTCATCGGATACGGATATATGAAAACGTTCCACAAAGTTAGCTTGTTATGATCCAATCAACTTGCCTCTGAAAGGATGATAGCCGATACACATACCAGCGAATGCGAGAGCATGTATTGCACGCACGCGACAAAAACTACTGGCACTCGCATGCGTTTATAAATGAAACCCCAGAACCCTAAATCGATCCTAAAACCCTAAATCGGGGTATATATAGATGGAACGAAGTATTTTACGAATGTGCAGCTCCAGCCACTCATATCTCATCAATCAGTAGTACGAAACACATCTTAAACGTACAACAATTCAATGCCACGCACGCTTCGAGAACGAAAAAATTGCAATCCTTCCACACACACATACGCCAACCAACACGCGTGTGAAGTGAACCACGCAATTAGCTCGGAAAAGTCACAGTCCATCCAACACTGTCACGCGTGCCCGACCTATAAGGTGAGTGGGAGAAGTTGCTTGTATATATTCTTCTCCGAAGTTCAGCGTATGTACACACAAAGGAAAGCGTGTACAACATCATGCTTTATATAGGCCAGCGCCTCGGCTGAGACTGAGTGGCTGGTCATGTATGCTACACTGCTGTGTCCGAGTGAGGTGTGTGAGTGCGCTCTCCAGTGGACCACGGTAGTCGTGCCTGAAGTACACCCATGCATGGAATACTAACCACCCATAACAATGGGAGCAAGGGCAGTGAGTGAGCGATCACAACACGTGTCTGACAGCGCAGTGAGTTTCTGTGTCGTACAGGTCTCCGGGAGAGAGAGAGGGGGAGGGGTGGGGGAAAGAAAATTGCAATGTATGCCTCTCTAGTTTGGTTTGGGTGCTCTTTCCCTGAATTCTCAGCCGAGCCTGAAGTGCAGTATCTGTGCCCAGTGAAAGAATACCTACCACAGCAATGCTCGTAGCATCGTCACAGGTGATGCCCTGTATGACGAGGAATGCTTTCCTCTCGTTGCCAGGCTACAGGCTTCCTCGTTGCTAGGCAACGGGTCTCCTTGTTGCCAGGTAACAGGTCCCCTTGCACACCTTGCCGCTACAAGTGGCCCTTCCAGCCACGCACTCACATATCACGGGTTGAGTCCAGTACCAGGCACAGCTGACACTCAGCACAGCAGTGTGGTGCTGGCACAGACTAGCATGTGCATGGGATAGCCCAATGCATCTGTCACGTGGCCTGCGTGCACGCTGCTGTTGTCTCGTGCGCAGTCGTTGCACACTCGCTATTCCTTTATACTCGCTGACCTGTTACGCAGTGGGTATGTCGCTATTCGTTTCAGCTTCAACCAACTACTATCTCCCACCGATTAGCTTGCGCAATCACTGCAAACTCGCCCCACTGCCGGTCCAGTGCGTTGAAAGTAGAGACGACAACGTTCACGATAGACGTAACGGCAAAAGAGACCATCACTACCAGTCAGGTGAGTGTCGACACGCACGCTCCGGGGCACCGTCGACGACCGTTGGTCAGGCTCTGTGGGGGTCTTCGGTTGTCCTATTTCAATTTTTTTCTCGGTTGTCCTATTATGTTTTTCGGACTGGCCAGACCGATAGCCGTGTCTTGCCCAGGTGATGATAGTCAAGGCAGGCCGTATGGGCCGCACGAGGGCTGTGGGTGGCTGTGGGTGGCTGTGGGTGGAAGAGTGAGGCGCCGCATGTGGCTCGTATGTGCAACACCATTTCTCACAGAGAAATGGGACACGACGTAAGCACCGGCACCAGAGTGTTGTCGGGTGACTGCTGCCGCTACTGCTACAGTGCGTATGCCTGGGTCGTAATCATTGGCCGGCAATGCTCTCTACGTGCACTCTATCTATCTGTCTTGTCTTGTCTTGTCTTGACCACTTCTGGCAGCGTGTTTTATCTCATCACCCACACACGCTCGGTGTTTGAGCCACGAACTCCTGACTGGCGCTGGTGTGAGAGCCTGCGGGTAACCTAAGCATCCTGGATTGTCACGTGGTTTACAGTTGAGCTTTTCGCCGAAGCGACGCAAGTGCTGCTGAGCAGACTTTGTCATATCCGCAGACACACTATCGCCCCCATTGGCCAGCACGCCCAAAGATGTGGTTGAATGGTTGTGTAGTGTACTTCTACTTTATCAATGGTACCAATGGATAGCGCCTGATGCACCATGCTACCTCCGTTGTGCAAGAGTATGGCATGGGTGGCAGGTTCCTTTCCGTTCGTGCGACCTCTTCGAATGATTAAGTTTAGTCCAGTGGTCACATAACGTTCATGAGAGGTCGGGTCGGGTCGGGTCGGGTCGCAGTGCGACGGAGTAACGTCTTGCAGCTGCTAAGCAAGTCAAAGTCACCACCACCAACCACCCGCAAACGGCACGCCTCACGCTACCTACTCCAACACCCGTTCTGGAAACCATACGGTACTATAGTTCTCATCTGGCACATTCGCGTCTGTAACTACTTCAGCCGTTTACCTGTAGTCCGCATGCCCAGTGCCTGCAGCCGTGCCTGTCTCATAGTGGCGCGTTCCGTGGCTTGGGATCTGCGCCAGGTTCTTTTCAAATGGTACCGAACTTCCGCAGATGATCATCAACATACTCATGCGATGGCTATGCATGCACTGATGCGATGGTCTGTATGCGCACTAATTAATTGTTACGAGTGCACTAATTAATGGCAATGAATGCGCTAATTAATGGTCGTAAGTGCACTAATTAATGTTCACGAGTACACTAATGAATGGTCGAAAGTGCACTAATTAATGTTCACGAGTACACTAATTAATGGTCGTAAGTGCACTAAATAATGTTCATGAGTGCACTAATTAATAATAGTCGTGAGTGCACTAATTAATGGTCATGAGTGCTCTAATTAATGGCCGTAAGTGCACTAATTAATGTTAACGAGTGCACTAATTAATGTCCACGAGTGAACTAATTTATAGTAGTCGTGAGTGCACTAATTAATGGTCATGAGTGCTCTAATTAATGGTCATGGGTGCTCTAATTATTGGTCATGAGTGCTCTAATTAATGGTCGTAAGTGCACTACTTAATGTTCACGAGTGCAGTAATTGATAGTAGTCGTGAGTGCACTAATTAACGGTCGTACTTCTCCATCGTTGGAGACGCGGTGCTGCTGAGCAGCTTCTCAAAACTATAAGGCAGCGCCCCACCCACACTACCATTGCCATTGCCGTTGCCATTGACAACCAGCCCAGGACTCTCCACCCCCCCATGGTCCACCGCCTGTTGCAGCATGCGCCTGAGATCCTTGATCAGCGCCGCATCCTTCTTGCGCTCCTGCTTGTGCGTGGCCTGGAGGTCTGTTTGTTTCTGTCTGTGCATTTCCTCGGCGTCGTGTAGGGCCTTTAGATTGGTGTCGGCGTGACTGGCGATGGTCTCGAAATCAGCCTTGAGCTTTTTCGTCTTCTCCTCCCACACCCTGCGCTCGGACGTGATCTTCTCAATCTGCGCGTCCTGCGGTGTAAGGCGTGTGTGGATGTGTGTAAGCAGTTGACTCAAAACGATATATATATATATATATATATATATATATATTATATATATTATATAATATATATATATATATATATATATGTACACGTGTATACAAGTGTG